CTACAGCTTTCCCAGCAGGTATTTTACATCCACCTTTCTACGGAAATGGCCTACGGTATGTATTACTCGCCATCTCTATCGTCCATGTGTATTTTCCAATAGCTCATCGAAATATCGAATATATTTCGTAGATCGATCAACTACGGTGCACTGGGTGCGATTATGGGTCACGAAGTAACTCACGGATTCGACGATCAAGGTAACGTATGAAAAGTCGAGACGCGTAACGTCTCGGTGTGTGTTTATCGCTGCAAATGGATAGCGAAATATTAGCTAAATCTCGCGTAAATAAAACGAAATTTCTCCGACTATCTATAGTACTGTATATGCGCGTTAGGACGTAGATACGATGAGAATGGAAATATTCGGCAGTGGTGGAGCAAAGAAACTTTGCGGCATTACCACGAGAAAATCGGGTGTATGATCAAGCAGTACAATAACTACCATTTACCGGAACTCGGCGATAATTTCACCGTGAGTACTAAGCATAAACCAAAATTATGCCAAGGCAGATGGTATGCGTGTACTCGATCGATAATTCCACGAGATCTTCGATGCTGTTTAGGTGAATGGCATGAATACGCAGGGGGAGAATATAGCTGACAATGGTGGCATACGAGAAGCTTACAGAGCGTATCAAAAATACAAAGCGAGAAACACTGATCCACTAGTTTTACCTGGTCTCCACGATTATAACGAAGAACAATTGTTTTTCATAGGTTTCGCACAAGTAAGTAAGACGACCACTTATCGGACCACAATCGGGAAACAGATACGCAATCTTCTTTTTCTTTTTTCACCCTTTTCTTTGTTCTTTATTAAAGCAAAATCATGATTGTTCATAAATTGCAAAATATTCTTCAACATGCATAACGATCCAACTTTTCCGTTTTTTCCGCCAAATTATACTTGCAGCATGAATTCGTGAGGAATGCGTGTATATGTAAATATGTATTTCTATATGTTTGAATAGGCCTGGTGCGGCAATTACACGAACGGAGCATTAAAGTCTAAACTGGTAGAAGGAACTCACGCACCGAATCATTTCAGGGTTATCGGAACTTTATCGAACAATGAGGATTTTGCGAAAGCATGGAATTGCCCGGTCGATAGTCCCATGAATCCATCTCGCAAGTGTATTCTCTGGTAATCATGCGTAATTACCCACTACCTGCACCTAACCAGATATTACTGGAATCTTCGAGAGTTACGTTCTATTACGAAATTACTTTCGCCCTTTAACAAGATAATGTTATTATCTCCTAATCTTGCACGTCCTATGATATTCCTTGGAAAATTCGAGGGACAGTAACGAAATTGTAGAGCGATTCGTAGCAGCTAACGTGTTCCACTTAAACGTACTATTAGATACATTATCTATTAAAGTTTATCTTCTGTAATTGTTATACAGAATGCGAGTATAATATTTTTAAACCGAAACAACATTATACAATGATTCGCCGCTCTTTCATTGTTTCTTCTTCTTTTTCTTTAAACTCGGCCCATTCTCTTCCACGACTTTTTCCTTTTTCCTTTTTTTCAAAAGAACCTTGCCGTTTTCTTTCCATTCCATCCATTTCACTTCCGATTCGTTCAATTTTCCAGCGATACCCTGTTCCGAAGTCTTCTCGTTCCATTTTCTTGCTCTCTTAAAACATGTATTATTATTTTCCTCCGAAGGTATAAAACGTTTCTTTCTATCTCTATTCCAACTTTCCTTTTCCTTCTTATCGTTAACATAATTGATACTGCCGTCATCGTTATTCGACGACTTACGCTTCTTCTTCTTAGGTAAATAATTACTGTTATCAATCGTTGTATCGTCTTCTACCTTCTTTTTCCTTAAAATCGATTTATTCCTTTTTTTATCTGGAATAATTGCAGTTTGCACCTCTTCTATACTCCTTTTTTTCTTTGATTTTTTTTTCGTTAATTTCATACGCGAGTCATCGGTCCAAATTGTTTCCCGATCACTTTCGTTTTCGACAACCACTTCCTGTCCAAGTCTGAAATTTTTCTTCTTCTTCTTCTTCTTCTTCTTCTTCTTCTTCTTCTTCTTCTCCTTCATCTCTTCTCCATTCTCTGGTTCTATTATTTCTTCATCGCATACGAGATTCTTATACGAACTCGCAAGGGACAAACAGGTAATTCGAGCACCACAATTGACAGTTTGCAGCATATCCAATTTATGTTTACGATATCTCCATAGTTTAATTTCTCCCGAACTGGAAGCGGTAACTAATAAATCGTCCTTGAAAGCCATACATTTCACTCGTATATCATGCGCAACCGCTTCTACGGTTTGAACTGATTTCTCAAGGTCATAAAACTTGATCTGACCATTTTCCAAACCAACGGCAATTAAATCGTCCTTCAAGAATTCTACACAAACGATTTTTGAATCGAATTTAATTTCGCTATCGATCCCCGCTAATTCTACGGAATATACATCTATCCTTTGATTCACAGCTAACAAATACTTTTCACCATTGGGACTCCATTTCAGAACATTCACATTTTTAGCATCCAATTTCAATCTTGGCATTAAGTTTGTTGCATACGCTTGTCGCCCTTTAACTAAATTCCATGTTCTAAGGATACCATCTGCTCCGGTAGATAATGCTATTTTTCCTGTCGGGTGAATAGCCAAGGTATTTACAGCGAAACCCTTATGCGGTTTCTGCCAATGTTTCTCTAGTTGCCAATTTCCGCACCGAACTGCAGCTATAGTTCCATCGTTACTGCATGTAAATAAGTGAGATGCTTCAGGGGTAAATGCAATGCAATTAACAGTATCTGTGTAAACATGTAAAGCGCCAATAGACATTTGGATTACTAATTTCGCTCTTATAAGCAAATAACAATCGTATATTATATTATACATACCGTTATGATGTATCAATCTACCAGTTTCTACTCTGGAACGCAAATCGTACAGATAAACAGAATCATCTGCTCCGCTAGACGCTAAATAATGTTTGTTATTAGCAACGCTACGTATACTACCGACATGACTATGAGTGGCGAAAGTTTTTTCCATCTTGTATTCCTGAAAGTTCATGGAATTTCTCGATAAAATTTAAAATGTAAAATTTTATCAGGACCAAGTAGACTTGATTTGACAATTACGCTTATGCAATGAACATAACCTACAATTTAACGGCGTATTAAAACGTGTTTACTTACGTTAACGATATTGTTTACTTTATAACCGAGCAAATATTGCTCGTATGTTCCTACGACTATTTCGAATGGATCCGGCATGGTTTAATTCAAACAAACCAATGCCTACGAATAAAAATAGCTCAATCGTGAAATCGAATTGATCGACTCTACCGTACGAAAACCGATTTCCCATGCAACTGACGATTGTTATGATTATCACCGACGGCACCGAAACGTAGGTAATAGATGTATCTTTATATCCACGATTCACGACGTTTCTAGAATATCCAAATCTTTCGAAACTAGATGTCGCTATCTCTAATTGGTGAACATTTATTGGACACGAATGGTAGTCACCAGTCAGAAGAAAGAAAGGGAGAAAGAAAGAAAGAAAGAAAGAAAGAAAGAAAGAAAGAAAGAAAGAAAAAAAGAAAGAAAGAAAGAAAGAAAGAAAGAAAGACCTCGTTATTCTTAAGCACCATCTGCCGACTGGACAAACGAATATACTGATTCGCGGGAAAATACAATTTCTCGAACGATATTATAATAAAATCAAATTTTCTACATTCGGAAATATAATTAGTTAAACAAATCATTTTTTCGTCACAATATGGAATCAAATATGTTATTTAAAACAATAGAAATAACAGGCGACTGAATAATTATTTAATCATTTATTAACCGACTTTAGACAATACATCAAGAGATTAATTCATTAATCGATTGATTGAATATTTCATTAACATATGGAATTCAACATGCTAGAATGAACATGTAATTAATACACATACAAGACAAGAGTGAACGAAAGTGTGTAATTTTCTTAATTTTTCAAAGTCACGCTTTAAAATTTCTTATCCAATTAGATTTCTTTGTCTTTTATAAGACCACGTAGCGAATTTAGCAGAGATAATGCTTATGTACCCGCATGTTTATGTAATATGATAAAAAAGACGTGATAACTGACGCGATTTGATATGCCGTGGACATTCGAGAAAACGCTGCAGAAGATATTTGTTTGTAAAACAGTAGAATAAATTCTCATTGAGAAGCGAGGATCAAACGCGTTAGACGTTTTCCACGGAAACCATGGAAATTCTAATTACAGATATCGATGTGAAAGATATAAGATTTCCAACATCGTTACTGGCAGATGGAAGCGATGCTATGGTAGGTAAAGCTTTTATCTTCTTTTCAATGAAAAACTGTAGGTAATTTAAATTGAATTTTCATTTTACGTGCCCTGATCTTTTATACGGTATTCAATTACAGCACACCGATCCCGATTATTCTTGCGCGTATGTCACGATTAAAACTAATACGGGAATCGAAGGATACGGATTAACATTTACCTTGGGTAGAGGCACAGAAATTGGTATATATATTTATTTGCCAATCAAAATGTCTAATTATGATTGTTATTATCATCGTCATCATCAATAATTTTATGGGACACAGCTGTTTACTTAAAATGCTTAAAAATGTTTACAGTCGTTAAAGCATGTAAGTCGATATCTTACTTGGTAAAAGGACACAATGTTAATGAGATTTTTGCGCACTTTGGTTCATTCTGGAGGAAACTGACCAGTGAATCGCAATTAAGATGGGTAATGTATCGCATTATATGCGCGGACACATAGTCGAATCATTGTTATACACGTGGTAAATACATGAGGATTTACAAAAAAATCCTCAAAAACATCGTTCCTGAATTCAACAGTTCATATGAATATTTGAAATGCAATAGATTGGACCAGAAAAGGGCGTTATTCATCTTGCCACAGCTGCTGTAATAAACGCGTTATGGGACCTATGGGCTAGGATAGAAAATAAACCTGTATGGAAATTACTTACGGACTTAACTCCCGAAGAGTTAGTCTCTACGATTGATTTCAGATACATGTGAGTTTTAAATATTTCATAAAACGTGGACAATTTTGGGCGACAGTAGCGATCCGTGTGACTGAAACATTCCTATGCGATATTCATTTTTGCAGCACCGATGTTATCACGAAAGAAGAAGCGATTAAATTGCTAAAAGACAATGAAAAAGGGAAAGAAGAACGCGAGGAGTTATTACGAAAAAATGGATATCCCGCGTACACAACGCAAGTGGGTTGGCTTGGATATAGCGATCGGAAAGTTAAAGAGCTTTGCGTTAAGTTCTTAGATCTTGGTTTCACATCTTTCAAGGCAAAGGTTGGTCAAAATTTAACAGACGATATAAGAAGATGTGAACTGATACGCGACGCGATAGGATACGATAATAAATTGATGTTAGATGCTAATCAAATATGGGACGTCAACGAATCAATCGAGTGGATGAAACGTTTGATAAGATTCAAACCAATTTGGATCGAAGAGCCAACATCTCCGGACGATGTGTTAGGACATGCAAAGATTGCAAACGAACTAAGACCGTTCGGTATTGGTGTTGCGACTGGTGAAATGTGCGCTAATCGTGTTATTTTTAAGCAACTGTTACAAGCAAAAGCAATCGACTATTGTCAAATTGATTCGGCTAGAATAGGAGGAATCAATGAAGTATTGGCTGTTTATTTGATGGCAAAAAAAATGGCTGGTAAGTTGCAATAAATGATAATTACTTTGAGTATATTGAACAAATATTTTATTGCAATTATTTTTGCATTAGTTCCAGTGTGTCCGCATGCCGGTGGAGTAGGTTTATGCGAAATGGTTCAACATCTCCAGATGTGGGATTATATTTGCCTGAGCGCAACTACAGAAAATCGTGTGATAGAATACGTTGAGCAACAACACGAGCATTTTGAACATCCTGTGCTTGTTCAAAATGCCTGTTACATGCCTCCCACCAGTCCGGGTTATTCGACCAAATTTAATAAGGACTCTATTAAGAACTATTCGTATCCGGATGGAGAGAAATGGAAAGATATGTACGAGGAAGGGCTTTTCCAAAGATCATCCCATTAAGATGTAGAAAATCAAAATTTGTATATTTACATATATTAACTATATGATAATCTATACCTTGGTATAAATATATGTATATTCACCACCACAGCAGAGTAAAGTAATTAATTATAGTCTCTAGTAGAGATTCTTAACGATATACATAAAGCAAAATTTTACCTTTCACCAAAGAAGTATCACAGCTACTACTCCAGTCCTTAAGCTTACCCGATATAACAGAATTATTGCAAATATTACACGTATTTGTATTTTACGTACTGTATTTGGAAACTTTCAGCTGAGACTTTACGTAATCAGTCTATAAAATATAATAATAAATGTCATTAAACCGAATCGAGGCAAATAAATTTAAAAGTTACAAACCATAGATTATACATACACTTACAAACCAGTACGAGTGGGGTTCAAACATGATTCTTTTAAATAAATTTATTTTGTTTATAGGAGAAATAACATGTAAATGCAAATGAGACACCGTATTAAACGGTGGCCAATGAAATCCTGTACGTGTAGCTGCAGGATCTAAACCTTGTTTTTCTAATATGATATCAACTGTAGACAGAATTCTGTCATCTAAAAGTAACCATTATTTGATTATATATATAAAGTGTTAAAAAGCAAACATGACTTTTAATGTCTATCAAAACTTACAAAGTTCAGCATCTTCTGGTCGAAGTTCTTTTGCATTGCGTATATGTTTATTTGGCAATATTAAATAATGATGCGTTGAAGCTGGATTAATGTCTTTAATACATGTCACGTAATCATCCTGGAATAAAACACATGATACCAAATTTATCGAATAATTACTAATGTAAAAATATGTCTAAATTTAAATAGTGACTTTTTCGTATCAGAAATAATATTCCATGTCATTTTACCGATGTTAAACTTACTTGCATGTTTAATCATCACACGGTATATAAAACAACGAAGGTTAACGTTTACATACCTCATATATTTTCTCGCTAGGTGCTTTATTATCTACGATGTTGCAAAAGATACAATTATCTGTACGAGTCCCCATGTAGGTAGTCTAATTATACAAAATTATTATTCGGGGAGAATTATTTTTCTACTAGCTTCGTAAAAATTGATGCTATTCGACTATTCGATGCGTAAGCAAGTTGTGCGATGAATGCAGCTACACATTGACAACGAATGTACAAAGTACCACTACTGCTAGTGAACATGTTAGAAGCGTCACATTCGCATCGTAATTCATCTTTACTTTGTATCGTCAAAGGAAATTTTTTTATCTTTCTTGCGGTATCTAAATATTTTGTAAAACAATTACGATTTTCTAGATTAACGAGTCTGCGGTTACAAATATGTATGTACATTAAATGTAGACTAGATCATAGTAAGTAAATACGTAATTAGAATTTCAAAATATTACTATTGATAATAATTAACAGCAAATTACCAGCAAATAATGATAAACGTATCATACTATTAGTATTCGTAAAAATGAAAGAGTAAGGTAACGGGCATTAAATATAAACATTTAGTTTAATCGCATTACTTTTTAATTTAAAATATATAAACTGTACATATATTTATAAGTGGTATATATTTATATATTCTTATATAATAGTCGTGAGCATGATAAATTAGTAATGAGTGTAACATATTCTTTGCATGTGGCAGTTTAGTCCAACGATAAAAGTATTATTGGTTTCAAAAATCGACCAAATTTATGGAAATAACATTTCTTTCATTCCCGATTGTTTTCGTATATTTACGGACATTAGAAAATATTTTCCGTTTCCTAAATAAATAATATTCTATTTAGTTCTTTCCGATGTAACAAGTACGTAATAAAGTTTGAAACTATATAAAATGTAAACGCGAAAGAAAAGAGAAAGACGATAGGAAGTACGCGTATGATATTTCGTCTTCTATATGAACAAATTGTTCACGAAATATACAAATGTTCATAGTTTCGCTTGACTCGTGTACATGTTAAGTTTTGAACAAAATTTCTTTTACGAATACAGAATTCATAAATTCACGACACATTTTCTTCTGTTTTCGTTTTGCCCTTTCACTATATTATATATAGTGTTTACGATCACGCGGTAAGTATCGAATAGAATAAAGTACTCGTATGAGAAAAACGCGATCGACTAAGGAAATATAAATACAAATATTAGAGAGAAATTGAGAAAAAAAAGAAAAAAAAAAAAAAAAAAAAAAAAAAAAAAAAAAAAGAGGGGAAAAAGAAACACCGAGATCGAGATGAAACGAATTGCACTTCGAATCGACCGAAATTAATAAAAAGAACGTCCGTTTGTAGGTTGTTTCATATTATCTCGTATTGGCCCATCGGCACCTTACACGCTAAGATAGGTTTACCGGTATTATACCGGACTGTACAGAATTTCTTCTTTTATAAATAATTCTTATAAATTATAATTAATCTACGTTTCCGATTCGACATAACGGTCATACAATATACATAATATTTGCTTAAGACAATCCATCTGTAATACTGCGAACCTTTCACCCAACTCCCGGGGAAGGAGAAGGAAGGGCGGGGAGGGGCTGGGATGGATGGAGGGAGGAAAGGAGGGGGTGGAGGGCGATCATCATAGCTCGTCTACTCTAGTCTAGTCCCGTCCTGACCCTTCGGTTGTCACCGTGTATAGTCGCGCAACGCCAGCCACAAGTCCCTGCTTCCGGCTTTAAATTGTCGAGAAGAATTCGTTCGCCAATCGTTAGCGTATATAACGCATTTTTGGTCGGTGACCTCTGTCGTTTTTGTTTCGTTTGTTCTCGTTGAAAGAAGGGATCGACTGCTAAGTTGCAGCAAGAAATTCGAAGATTTTAAATTAACTTAAACCATTCTAATAAAGGGGCAAGTTTCAGCTGCCTTGGTACGGCATTTGATCCGGTACGGCGGACGAATGATTCTGACTTGGGCTTTGATGAAAATGAGGATTGCTACCATCTTGCGATATTTCACCGACCGCTGGTTCTTCGTATTTTCCTCTCTTAAAACGACCGTACAAAGAAGAGTACGGTAAGTTATAGTGGATAGCCGCTTGATTGATGCTCATGTGCCCTAATCTGAAAAATTGCGAACGAATAAATCACATGCTTTTTCGTATCCTGCTTTTTTTAGATTATCCGATTACGGTCGTTGATCTAGTATTCGATCGTATATAATTATAGTACAATAATATTAGAGGGAAGGGAAGGGAAGGGAAGGGAAGGGAGCGTCTTCGCTCCAAGGCGTAGGATTACTTCTGCTAAGTTCGATACCCTCTCTTTTACATCGACCATACAATGTCCCCGTTGGTATACCGTACTCCGTGGAGGCTCTTTGTACGGACGTTTGGCCGGATCGTATCGCTTCGAGAGCGCGGTCGAGATCGACCGGCGACCACGTGGTAGGACTCGCATTAAAAGGCGCAGCTAATCTGATACCTTCTCTTCTCGCGATTTTGTACAAGGTGCTCGAGGGTATACCAAATGCTTTCGAAGCTTTGTTCGCTGATATTGTTCCAGTCCGTAATGCCTCGAGCGCGTTATTTAAACTCTCGTCGCTCCAGGATTTGGTGGGTCCGTCCTTTTTCGGAGTGTCGATACCAAGCCGATGCGCTCTTTGCCACAAGGTCGTGGAAGGTATACCGAAGGTGGCTAAAACGATGGCGATACAATAAAATATGTATAGAATGGTAGCGAAAAGTTTGTCAATATTTGGAATTAAAAGTTTGGATGGAAGAAGAAGAGGTAGTAATCGATTTCGAATTACCGGAGGCTTTTGTAAGGCTCATATCATGATTTCGTAATGCTTCCAAAGCGGCATCCATGTCCTCTTGAGTCCAAGATTTCGAGCCATGATGATGAGAACTGGATTGTCCCGAGTGACCTCTCGAATTGTTTTCACCGGAATCCGAATGTACCGAACTGCCAGACGGCATTAATCCAAGTAATTCCGGCGTAATCATCATCATGTTGTCGCTATCGGTCGCGTTCTTCGAACTGACGCTCGCTCGATCCGACATGTGGCTATCGATATCGATCGTGTCCGACGAATCCATCGTGTGTAACGTTTCAAACTTAATCTTTACACTGTCGCAATTTTGGATCTCTACGAACAGATTGGAAAAACGACACAGTTGTAACAGGTGCGTGCCTCGATTCGTAAGGTAGCATAGCGTTGTATAGCAATATCGCGACTTGTAAAGATCGACGCGTTACTTATTTTTAATTTCGTTTGTTCGAACTTGACAACACGAACGCGCGAAGGATATTTCGCAGTGAGAGTGGCAGTGAGCGAGAGCGAGAGTGAGAATGAAAATGGCAGTGGTCGTGGACGACGTGTCGTGCCATGGAAGGCAAAAGAAGCGCCATCGAAGGCAAAGTTGGACGCGCGGACTAAACGAGCTTGCGTAGGCTGTTACTAACGGAGCAACGTAAATCTAATCGCGACTAGTTAAGCCCGATTAGACCAATTATTTTGATTCCCTCCCTGTCGAATAACCAGCTATGGTTTTATTCCCCCTCGCGAGTCACGCCGTGTTACAGAGCCGAACGATGATAATATCGATACCGGATCGATCACGATACTAACGAAAGTAACGATAAGAATAAGAAGAAAAAGAAGAGAAAGATAGGATGGTATAGGCGAATATGGCGTAAATAAAAGTACGCAAAGTGAGTAGATAAGAATACTACCAGCGATTGCACCTGTGGCATGATGATCCGGGTCTCGTAGATGGGTAATGGTAGTACCGACCAATGTGGCACTCGGCGGTGTCGGTTGAGTCTCTGGTGGTAGGTCAACCTCACCGGGATCCGGATGATGACCGTAATGACCAAGGCCTGTATGACAAAACATGTCACCTTTTTATTTCAAATGAAAACGGTCTGCCCTGTAAATTGCCGTGAATCGGTAAATCGCCCCACACCTAAACTCCGTCTCACGTAGATGCCGAGCTGAACTAGTCTCTTTCGCATCTTCCGAGGGAACGAACGAAGAGAGAAGTAAAAGGTTTTAATAGACGGCAGTAACCGTTGCGTTATCGATGTTTTCCCATGGAAGCAAAAGGATTGAGGTGTGGGGCCCGTATCTGTTTATCGACTACCTACCGTTGTTATTGTTGTTGCTCGTGGTGTTACCGGTGCCGTTACTGCTAGTGTTATTATTATTGTTGTTATTATTGTTGTTGTTGCCAGTGGTGATGGTACTATTGTTACTGTTACGCTGGCAAGTTTCCAAGACTACTGCTCCCGCGGCGGTCTCCGTGCAATCTTCATCTTCAGCTTGCCAGTCTCTGTGGTTCTGCGAAATATCCGGTACGAATTTAGCGACAACCGTGACGAGATCGCGTAGTCTTTTTCAGGATGGTTGTCGCGTTCTTACGGTTTTTCCGGCGCGTCGCGTTCATCGAAGTCGCCGATGCTTACCTCTTTGTTCTCACGATTGTAATTTTCGTTCGATTCCTCCTCTTTGTATCGATCGTAATGCCTTGAATCCGTAGCGCGAGGTTCGAACGTTGTCCTGGCTCTCTTGTATCTCGGATGATGTCTTTTCAACTTGGTGAAATTTATCCTAGGGGTACCGGGTTCTCTTGGCGGTGAACTCAGACTTACAGAAGGTGGACCGTCTCTGCTTTCCGGCACCTCGCACAATCCTTTGATCTTTAGTTGATCAGCTGTTTTCAACAGTGACTGCAACATACACGTCATATGATTGTAAAGAGATTCGTTCCATTACCATATCTACGATCCGTCTTTCGTATATTACGCGCTGCCAACCACCGTACGAAAATGTTGATAAATCCTTGGTTGTTATAATCGTTATAGTTGCTATAGTTTTCGCGTAATCATGGTCGATCGTGGATTACGAGTTTGACGCGAATACACCGAGCAAATATTTACCAAGGCGAGTAATTAGATAGAATTCCATATAGAGTGGAATCGACGACATTTTGGCACAAAGGTCGCAAATGCCAGACGATTCGTGGATTAAATCGGAAAGAAAGCAAAGAGTAGCCGATCTCGATGAACCGCATTTCCAGAGGAATAGAGGAATAAAGGAAGGAAGGAAGGAAGAAAGAAAGACTGGCTGAACCGAATTCGCATATTTTGGATAAAAGCTCGTCCTCCTTACGACCCGTTTCAACGGATACGGTTTCATCTTGCAGTTGCCGCTTGTGGTGCGTGGTGGCTCGGTCTAAAATCAGTATTTGCGATCCAGTTTTGGCGTGCGACGATTCATCGGCATAGTGCGTCGACCCGTATCGAGCACCGCGACGTTTCTCTCTACAACGACATTTTCCCACTGGTCTCCTCTGATCTTAACCTTGAACTGGTACGTAAAGGAAATTAAACAGACGACTGATGTAGAAACAAGAAGGAAAGAGAGAACGAAGAAAATACATGCTGGCGAATTGACGACGATGACGATGACGACTACGACGAAGAGGAAGAGGAGGAGGAGGAGGAGAAAGACAGGATGAAAAAAGCGAACGACACGAAGTATGGAAAAAGAAAACAGACACTGAGAATCGGCGGTGTATTACATGGCGAACAAAATACGTCGACGCGAAGAGAAAGAAATAGGCGCGATTACTTCCGTATGACGATCACATGTGGTAACGATAACGTATCTAAATAGCAAGAAAGAAACGTAAGAAATGTGATGTAAGGCCAACAAATACGGATAAACAAGGGCGAAATAGAGAAAAATAAAGTTAAGAAAGGAAAAGTTTGTTATGGGAAAGAAACGCGAAATGGACGGGGGATTGAAGGAAAGGAGCAAAGAACGAACTAGCGAACGAACGAGACCGAGGTTCGCGTTGAAGTTGAGGTTCTCTGTTCTTTAATCAAGGCAGGGGTAGTGCGATTAGGCGGGGTCGACGAAGAGACAGGCAGTATGAGAGCAGCTATGGTAGCGACGGTGATGGCGACGGCGGCGGCGGCGGTGGCAGCGGTGGTGGTGGTGGTGGATAGGCAGGTTGTGTAGGGGGTGTTGGTGGCGACTGGAAACGTGGGGCGTGGGTGGAAAACTGGGTGGTGCTTGGTAGGACTAGGTTCACAGTGTTAGAAAGAGAAGGAAAGAACGAGAAAGCGAGAGCTAGCGACGACAAGCAGGGAGAGATGGAGGAGAGGGGGAGAGAGAGAGAAAGAGAGAATGCGAATGAACCAGCGATTGAGTGAACAACTAAGAGAAAGAGAGGGGCAAAGGTAAAAACGCCCGCAGGAAGAATGGGGAGGCCTCCGACGCGGCTGTCGCGGCCCCAGGGCCGTATCGACCACCCCAAACTCTGATCCTCTCAGCATTTACAATGGCACAGGCACCGATATGACTTTAAACCGTTTCTACGTACGCATCTTGCGTTTCGTTCCGCGGATCTTACACGTTTCCTTGTCTTCCGCACCGTCGCTTCTTCGCGCACGCACGCACGCACGCACGCACGCACGCAGGCACGCACGCACGCACGCAGGCACGCACGCACGCACGCACACAAACAACCAAACAAACAAACAAACAAACAAACAAACTCGATCCGTTCGCTTCCTTGTACTCCAACCCTAAGTACGAAGAGGAAGAATACATGCGAATATTCGGGTCGTTGAAAATGTTCGCGAGTCGAATAATAAAAAATTCGGCACACTTATACCTATGATGCTTTTGACTATAGATCGTATCTCGTAACAATCAACAACTTTGAAAAAAATATAGCAGAGGCGATCCTTAAAAAATCTTGACACGATCATTTTGGGGTACGAAAAATGATAGTTTTGCGAGAGTAAATGCAAAAGGTGCATCTACTCGTGGATCGATTAAACAAACAAAGAAAGAAAGTGGCGTTTCAAAAAGTGTAACGCTGTAACAAACGATAAAAGCGGCGACAGATGACGACGACGACGATGACGGTGAAGGTGGTGGTGATGGCGAAGGTGATGGTGTTGGTGGTGGCGGCGGCAGTAGTAGCGGTGGCAACGGCGGCGGCGACGGTGGCGGTGGTGGTGATGGTGGTGGTGGTGTGGCGGTGGTGGTGTGGCGGTGGTGGTGTGGCGGTGGTGGTGTGGCGGTGGTGATGATGGTAGTGGTAGTGGTAGTGGTAGTGGTAGTGGCAGTGGTAGTGGTAGTGGTAGTGGCAGTGGTAGTGGCAGTGGTAGTGGCAGTGGCAGTGGCAGTGGCAGTGGCAGTGGCGGTGGCGGTGGCGGTGGCGGTGGCGGCGGCGGCGGCGGCGACGGCGACGGTAATTTGGAGAACCACGGATACTAAGCGATGGGTAGGGTTGTACGTGTGCTGGTGCAGGAGTTGGGGTGTGGGTGGGTAGTTGGTTGGTTCGGCGGTGGATGCATAGGGGTGGTGCCATCGGTTCGGAGGCAAGAGGGAAAGCCACCGGCAGAATCCAACCTCACCAATCAATACTTAGGGTTCAAGGGCATCGCCCGACCAATTATCCCAGACTAATTGACGCGAGACGCAAGAAAAAAGATTTTACCTTCGCTATCTTGTTTCGTGTTTTTCACGACCGAGAAAACAATACACAGCAAAAGTCCCTGATACACGGAGTGAATTTGGTGTTCAGTTGGAAATCGAATCGAAAAAACGTTCGATTCGTTGGAGATTTAGTCAGAAATTTAAACGATTGGAAGAAATAGATTTCAAGCCGATAGAGTAACTGTCGAACGCGCGCGCCTCTTTTTAACGCGAAATAAAGCAAGCGGATAAAAAAGACGATTAGATTAGGAGATAGGAGGCGGACGCGAGTTCTTTCGTAGAAAGAAATAAGGAGACGACAAGACGAGTCCAACAGGTGTAAATCCGCAAATAGATCGACCGTGGAAACGTTTCACGAGAACAGGAAGGACGCGAAGGGGTGGCTGGGGGCTTGGCTGTGAGAGACTACTAGTAGACGGTAGAGAGGCTACGTATGCGTTACACAAGCATACCCGAACGAAGAGACTGGCCGTTAGAAGAAGAGCAGAAAAACCGAGACAGAGGGGAAGCAACGCGAAAGAGAGAAAGGAGAGAAGAAAAGCGGCGTAGAGAATGTATGGGAGAACCCCCGAAGATGGTCGTAGGGTCGTCTACGCTATTACGAATACGGCGTCATAACGGAATTGATAATGTAACGGACGTCACGAGCATAACCTTCCTCTCTTCTTCTTCACGCTACATAACCCCCTTTCTGAATGGGAGTGTGATTCTCTCGCCGCACCACGTGCTCTTCGAACAAGCAAACGACAAGTAGATTTTCCATTCTGCAATTTTTATTGTCTTTTACCGCGAACTCGAATATTATTCGCGATTTTATGTCGTAACGTGCCTTTTTTTATAAACTTGCCTACTTTTTCCCCAATTTCGTATCCCGTCTTTTGCTTTTCCGATATCGCATTTCTTCCCCTTGTATCACGAATATCGTTCGTCGAATAGACAATTCGCGATTCGAATTCGCATTCGGAAAGTCGAAACCGCGATTAGCGCAAGCATTTATCGGTTGGCGATTGCTTCGTTCTAGAATTTAGGCCCACGAGATAAGGCGGCATGCTTGTCGAATGTTTACGAACGTGAAACGAAGAAGCCCGATAATACGAATATCGTAGTTTCGTAGACATTTCACAGGATTCTTGCACAATTTCACACGCACGTTACACACACGTTACACACACGTTACACGCACGCGTAAACACACGCGATTATACACGCATACACACTCGATCGTTGCTCTTCGGTTATTCTTCATTCGCGGAAGATCGATTTATCCGTTGATAAAATCGAACCAGCTAATTTTATAACACGCCAGTCACGTAGGCTCTATTCTTCGACGGAAGATCAACGAGATTCTAATGCACTTGACTCGGACTCATTGACTCCGGCACAAATTTAACGAATCACTGTCCGCACACCTTTGATCGACAAATTTCGAAGTAGGGAGATTATCGGAGCATAGGATACTCTTCGTTTAAAACGTCAAGGGTGACGATTACGCGCCGCGACATGTTGTTTCCACGGTATGCACGACACTTGACGCGTTTGATCGATGCTGCATACATCGTAATCCATATATCTGGTCCGAAATGCATTATCCGCGTATCGAAAACTTGGTAAACACGTCGAAAATGCTGTAAACTTTGCACCAAATCGTTGCGTCTCTGCTTCATTCACGAAGAGAGAGAAGAACACTTAGGAGCAGGTGATCACGACGTTACTTCGTATCCATATATCACGCGATAATTTATATCGCGTAAATTTGCCTAACGATATTCCGATTCGGAAGATGTTCCAGAGTTCCGTTATGGTGATAGGTACTCGCGTGCTTGATATGTACTGGTACACTAAAATATCTCGAACCACGATAGTTCACGTGCACAATACGATCGTCCAAGATTCGGCGGCTAGTAGTACGTGTCGTGTATCCATGTAAAACTTTCGCTTCCTTTTCTCTCTATTCTGCTCCCCTGTCACTCGTGCGCTCTCTCGCCCTTTCTCGCTCTCTCTCTTTCTCTCTCTCACTTCCTCTCTCTCTCTCGCTCGACCCCTTCTCTCTCTCTTCCTCTCCCTGTCCCTCTTTCCTTCTCTCCCCCACTCGCCCCTTCGCCCTCTTTCTTTCTCTCTTTCTTTCTCCCTTCTCCCTTCACCATCTGCAGCTGTCTCTTTCTGCGTGTGTTGCGAGAAGTTCATCGGAGCAATGCCCATTCTATGGCAAGTA